TTTGTGGAGGACGTTCCAGCAAGCTCTCAGCGCATACTCCAAGGCCACGAAAGATCTTGGGCGTATCATGGCGCATATTCGGGTGAAGCAACGGTACGAGACATCATCAAGAGCATCATCAATCAGCACTCTTCAAAGAATTGACATCCCGGAGTTCTCTGGGAAGTACTCGGAGTAGAAGGCCTTCTACGACGCCTTCGTATCACTCGTCCACGAGAACCCGAAGATTCCGGACGTGGAGAAGATGAGAAGGCTGAAGGGTGCCCTGCAAAGACAGGCTAAGGCGCTCATCAAGAACATCGGAGTTGAAGCAGTCAATTACTCCATCGCTTGTAAGAAACTCATCGCACGCTACGAGAATCCGAGGCTCATAATGGCTTCTCACTTGAATCGGATCCTCAACATGGAGCAGCTCACAGAGAAGTCAGCTGCGGGGTTGTTGGCTGTCGTCAACATGACGACTGAGGCCCTGGAGGTATTCAAGTCACTTGGAGCTCCCACCGAATAATGGGACATCATCGTGGTCCACATCATAAGGAGGATCATCGACGCAGACACCAGGGAGGCTTGGGAGGTGAAGCTCGGGGATTCAACTCAACCCCCACTGTTGAAGGTCTTCCTGGTTTCTCCAGGCTAGAACTCGCACCTTGGAGAATGTGGATCGAGAAGAGTACAACGGGACACCTACGAATGCAGCACCCAAGCAGAAGCCAACAGCGAAAGTGCACCAGGTATCAGCGGAGAAATGATCGGGGAAATCATCAACTGCACAACCCAGCGCAGCAACAGGCCCATCATCGAATAGGACATGCCTAGCATGTAACGGCACCCATTGGCTGGGGATTGAGTGCCCGGCGTTCCTGGCCATGGTGACAAAAAGCTATTCGTGGAGAACAACAGGCTGTGCTACAATTGCTTGGGCCTCTACCGAGCCCACAAGTGCAAGAGTGATCGGCGATGCAAGACGTGTCAGGGCCTCTATCACACACTTATCCACATGGTCCCAGGCAATACAGGGTCGTCAACGACAGAGTCATCACGTACCTCAACACTATCAAAACACGCCACGAGCGGTTGAGTATCAGATTACCATTTCAGTAATTTGAAGTAAACTCACCTGCTGTGTTTGTTGACAGACAACTGGACCATCAGTACGCAACAGACATTTGTCCATTAGGAGCCTGTCAACAAGTCATCCGGTCCATCATCATGCCAAGACAGCATTACATATCAAGTCATCTGTGAGGTCACTCATCGAGTGGAAGAGATCAATGACCTCTCACAATTAGCTTGGAGATCCTGGACAATCAGAGAAATACTAGGTGGGACATCAACCTCATTTAAACTCATGCATCGTGGAGATCATCGTCAATCAGAGAAATACCAAGTGAATAATCAATCAGAACCATACCAGATGAGTCCAGTGAACACCATCAACGTTTTGGAAGTTCATCGACCTCATCAGAAAGCAACTCAACTGGTAATCTTGGCACCGGCGAGGGTCATCCCCCTCAATCATCACGGAAATTCAAGGCCAGCACGAATCCTCATCGATCAGGGCTCAGAGATATTATTAGCCTCTGAACGCTTGGTCAATCAACTTCATTTGGAGCGGAGGTCATCATCACCCATCGTCGTCGGTATAGGAGAAACCTCATCGAGAAGCACGCGTGGTGTCGTGACACTCGCCTTACAACCGAGGTATGACCCCGCTGCTCAAATCAACATGGACGCCCACATACTGAGCAAGTTCACGGTGAATTTACCGCCATTTACTTGCGAATCAACTATTCCTCATCAATTAAGAAAACTTCAACTAGCAGATCCACAATTCTTAAAACCTGGGACCGTCGACATCATCATCGGAGCTGACTACTACGGGAGAATCATCGGCGAGACAATCATCAGGTTCAAGGAAACGCATCTAATAGCTCAACAAACCGTTTTCCGCTGGACTATATTAGGGGTCAGTCTGCTGGACCGGCTGTGCTCCAAAATCATCGTTAAAAGTAATGAAACAGACAGTGAAGCAAGAGCTCTTGGAACTCCTGAAGAAATTTTGGACTCAAGAAGAACTACCAGATACATCATCATCGTCAGTCTCGACGAAGGCTGAAGCGGAGTGTGAACAGCATTTTATCGAGACTCTTCGACGAGATTCGAAGGGACGCTACATAGTGCGTCTCCAGTTTAAATCATCGCCAGCCGCCTTGGTGGATACAACATCATCGGCCAAGAGACGATTGTAGAAGCTCATCAGACGACTCTCATCAGATCCGGACACTCATACCCGATACAAGAAATTCATCGAGGAATATGAGGCCTTGAACCACATGCAACGAGCATCATCGACGTCGGAGCTGGAGCGGGCATATTATTTGCCTCATCACGCAGTGCTTAAGCCAGATAGCACGACCACAAAATTGAGAGTGGCGTTTGACGCCTCGCACCGCAGGTTATCGGGGTTGTCATTGAATGATATCTTCTATCCGGGACTCAAACTGCACGTCAACAGTTCCGACGTCCTCTGACTGCGTCGGCATCACCTTGTTTTTGGCACGGACATCGTGAAGATGTTCCGCCAGATCGAGGTTTATGAAGATGACTGGCACTATGAACGAATTCTCTGGGAGGACGACAGCGGCCAACTCATTAAATATCAACTGATGACAGTCACCTATGGCACCAGCTGTGCACCCTGCTCTGCTCTGTCTCTGCTCTACCACTTGGAGACATATCAACGGCAAAGAAAATCGGCGGACTGCGCATCCAGGGGCCTATCATCAAAACAACTGACGGAACATCATCTGTGGTGGACAGGACCCTCATGGCTTGTCCTGTCACCGGGTCAGTGGTTAGCCTCACCAATGGACTTACCATCATTAATGGAAGTATCATCAGAAGCGGCTCGGGAAGGGAGACCGCCAATCAACAGCTCGGATTCAGTGTAAATCGCCGAGGCGGATGCACTGCTCATTACATACTCATTGTTGACGAAGCTCTTGCGGATCATAGCCTGAATCCATCGAGTCGCAAGACGCTTCCAACTGCAGCCGGCACCGGAATCTGCCCAATTAGAACCACAAGAGCTCGAAGAAGCCAGACTGTTTTGGGTTAGGTACACTCTACAGCTCTACTTCGAGGCGGAAATCAACACCTTATGGACAGGCAACTCACTGGCAGTAAATCATCGAACGGCGATGCTGACGCCATATCTGGAGCACTGCGTCATACGCTTGGGCGGACGTCTACGAAAATCAACGTTGGATCCGGAGGAGAAAAATCCAATTATTCTCCCACGCCACTCACCGCTATCAACGCTCATCAACGGAGTTTCCATGGAGGCACTCAACTCACTTTGCCATACATTCAGCAGAGATACTGGATCATCGGTGGAGTAGCTCCAATACGTTCACACATCATTTAGTGCGTTATTTGTTCACGTCGTCGAGCACTGAGGACTCAGCGGTTAATGGGACAGCTGCCAGCGCGACGAGTGACACCATCAAGGGTTTTCCTCCACTCAGGAGTGGACTTCGCCGACCTAATCAACGTCCTGAAATGGAGAGTGTCAGGGGAAAACAAAACAATGTACAAGGCGTACACGCCTTAATACATCTGTGTTTGTATGCTTCGTCACATCAGCTACTCATCTGAAAATGGTAATGGATCTGTAAATGGTAAATCGTAACGGATCTGATATTGGAGGGTTTCATCGCAGCGTACAAACGCTTCACTTCAAGACGGTATCTGTGCGATACTGACCAGTGACAGGGGACTCAACTTCATCAGGGCAGAGAGAGAACGCCAGAATCTTTTCGACTAGGCATCCAGCAAATCAACTGTCATTAGAGATCGGCTAGCATCCAACAGAAATGGAAATTCAACCCCTCTCATTCGCCACACATGGGAGGCAAGTGGGAGGCCGCTGTGAAGTCAACAAAACCTCACCTCAGGAGGATCATCGGGGCTTCGAACATAACGTATGAAGAATTACGTACGATTCTTCTGACTTAGGTTGAAGCCATACTCAACTCTCGACCACTCTGTCCACTCACCAACGACCCGCAAGACATATCAGCCCTGACATCGGGGCACTTCATCATCGGGGAACCGCTCTCAGCGGTTCCTGAACCATCGCTCCAGCAAATCACCACGGACAGACACAGCGGGTGGTAAATCATCACCCAGAGGCTCCAAAACTTCTGGGATCATTGGGCACGAGAGTGTATTCATCGATACCAACAAAGCTACAGGTCGAAACTGCCAACGCACGTAATCAAAATTGGTTCGTTGGTGTTCAACACGCTGTTCATCACGGTGTTCTTGAAATTCATCCAGGACAGAACAACCTGACAAGAGTTGTTAAACTGAGGAAAGGTCATCAGGAAATGCAGCGGGCAATCCGTCGACTTGTTCCATTGCCCATCAACACAGATCTACTGAAGGATCAATAGTGAGGACGATCAACTATACATCGTCACCAGGAGATGACGCAGGGCGGGCGGGATGTTCAAATTCTGGCCTAAAATCGGGCCAATCACGCCCCCGTCCCCCTCGGTAATCTTCGGCCATCAACGGATCACGCACGAAGACGGCAGTGCGTGCCGTGGTGATCAGTATATCGACACTGAACCCGATCGAGTAACCATCTTGGCAATTATGGGGAATCATATCGGACAAAGTATCGAACATTACCGTTACTTATCGGAACAATCATCTACATATTTCGTGTTTATTTTACACTCCACTCCGGCACTTGAACTATTTAGGTGTAAATTATCGAGTGTATTTTTCAGTGTATCAAATTTTCAATATAGTGACAATCAACGAAATTCATCTACGTTATTTTCCGGCATTTCATCCCATTTCACTTTCCCTCCCGGCCTCGCAATCATCAAAATCCCCAGATTTTTAACACTGACTGATGTCGTTCTTTAAAAACCTCATCTAACCGTAAGGTGAATTATTTAAACATAAATACCTTATTTATTTTTCAGATTGTCTGAGAGAAATTGCGTAGAGTTGATAACAAAATTGATTGAATTGAATCTACTAGACGTCATTTTCACTGCCGATGGAAAGGAATACATTACTCCACAATATTTAGAAAAGGAAATTCGTGATGAATTGTACCTGCATGGTGGGAGAATAAACTTAGTGGAATTAACAAAAATTTTGAATGTTGATTTGTTCCACATCACGAGAACTGCGAATGACATTGAGAGACATGACAAGAGTGTCAAAGTAATTTTGGGCCGTCTAATCATAGACAAGAGTTATATGGTTAAGATTGTGGCGGAAATCAGTGATACATTGAATCAGATTGGGTTCATCAATATTGCGGAATTGACGCTGCATTATGATCTACCAGATAATTTTCTGCAGCCTCTGGTGGAAAAGGCACTAGGAAAAACGATTCATGGCACACAGGATAAGCAGGACCCTAAAATTTTTTACACCGAGGGATTCATTACTACGAATAAGGCTAAGATGAGCGGAGCCTTCTTTGCTATTACGAAACCTACGCCATTAAGTGCTGTTATGGGACAGTGCAATATACCTGAAAAGATATTTTCCGGTACGGGAAATTCTAAAAAACATCGATTTTCCATATATTTACGTAAAGAAATTATACAGGATTTCCCAAAACTCACTATACTTATCGTGAGGTTAGTTGGAGGGAGTCAGTTGGAGATAAAGTTTGAAAGATTTTTCTCCTCCGGCGTTTTTTTTAAGAAGGGTCAACAAAATAAGAATCCATCGCACCTCGTTTTAGATAATTCATAGCTTCCCTCTCGTTTCGGATGGAGGTATCAAAAGGATGTCATTCCATTGGGTATTTAGTGCACTACGATCTGAAAAAATGGTCTTCTATCATCATGACCGGATGAGGAAGCCGGCGATGAATTCCGCCGTGGCGTAAGAGCTAGTTGATTTCAACATGCAATGCGACCCCAAAAATCAGAGTCAATGTAAAACATTCATATGTTCACTCCGATTTCATATTAAAGGATGGAATTGATTAAAATCGATCACACCTTCAATGCCATCATCCATTCACGTCAAATGGGGAAAGGCATATGATTTCTCTGTCGGCGAATAGAGTTGGATTGGCTGTTTTTTCTTTGATAACTCATAAATAGAGCGTCGAAGACAAAAATGTAATGAAACTTTTCATTTCCTAATGCCCCCTCCCCTCCAGCTAAACTTACGATAAATATACGATGAGTTTTGTGACACTGTTCGAGGCTGGGTCTGAGATCTGTGGAAATTATGAGCGATGGGCGAGATAAAAACGGATTCTAACGGGAGCGGGAGAAGGTTCGCAAATCACTACACGTGCACGTTGGTCACAAAAGTCAATTTCATTATTAAATAAAGTCAATTATTTACACGTGTTAGCTTTAGCGTGATTACCGAGATGGTCAAAACAAATGCGCGGGTCACAAAACTATTAAATAAACGCAGTTTACAGAATTTAGGTAGCGCAGGGCAATTAGTTCTAAGAACTTGAGCAAAATAGCGACTTCGCGGAAAAGTGATATACACTGTACGATGGCCGATATGCAAATGAGGCCGATTGAAAGACCGGAAGGTGGCAGGTGTCGATCATCGTGGGTCCAAACGGGCCCCAATTTAAATGAGAGCGTTCGCTGGACACCTGTTTATCAAGTGGCGCCTCAGGCATCGGAGGTGACAGGCCACTGGTCAGTTCAGTCGTTTGCGCAGGTCAGTTAGGAGAAGCCATGGAAGCATGCGAGAGGAGCGAGTATGAGTGTGTGAGGAAAACAATTCGGTAGAAAACCGAACATTCTCCCCCGCCGTCAGCAGCTGCTGACGTCACTGAGTTGGTCTGAAACAAAAAGAGATTAATCGAGCTCAGGACAAAGATTTCTCGACGATCAATATCACCATCGTAGTTCACCAGTGACGGTCAGGTGTGAGTACAGCCGAGGATGTAGGAGGCGTAAATTCCGTCAGACCCTGGCAGACTCACGTCCACTCCGGACTAGTTGCCACAGAGAGGGTCGTAAATCCTCACCATGACCCAATCTGAACATGGACTATGATGAACTCGATGATATAGAGCTGTCATCACATGAGATGATCCTAGTTGTCGCTGGTCGAGGTGATCTTAGGTGTCGCTGGTCGAGACGATCTTATGTATCGCTGGTCGAGACTGGCAGTAGAGCGAGTTTCGAGATGGGCCGTTATAGAGTAGAACTGGACGTCTTGATGGTTACCACCCTGGTGAGTCCATCTCTACCAGAATGGAGAGCGATGATTCGAGCGAGAGGCCACTTCGTTGGTGAAAACCTCTCGTCGGTGAGAAGTACTGTAGAGCCAATTCTGATGTCGTGAGATGGGTGGTGCCACTTTGAGATAGACTGTAGATGCTGAAGGTAGCTAGTGGACCACTGCTTCCAGAAGTACTGAACCTTCTGCTGGATGAGCTGCCAACGAGATAGGCGAGCGACGTTCAAATGCTCCAGCGAAGGGTCAGGAACAGAGGTCAAGGCCTGGACAATCAGCAAATGACCTGGTGTGAGCGCGTTGACGTCATCAGGACCTTCTGATAGTGGTTCCAGTGATCGCGAATTGAGCACAGCGTCAATAGGGCATCGCCGATCGTTCGTTTGAGATGAAACTTCATCGACTTTACCACGGCTTCCCATTTGCCTCCAAAGTGTGGTGCACCTGGAGGGTTAAAAGACCATCTGGTTCCATCGCTGAGCAAGAGTTGGGCTAGTTTGTCCAATTCCTTAGACGTCATTGAGAAGAGCTTCTTCAATTCCTTGTCGGCTCCCAAGAAGTTCGTTCCGCAGTCTGAGAACAAGTTCTTGCAGAGTCCACGCCGGGCAATAAAGCGACGATACGCAGCGATGAATCCATCGGCTGCGTAATCTGCCACGACCTCAATATGGACTGCGGACGTGGTCATGCAGACGAAGATCGCGAGCCATCCCTTGTACGACTTGTGACCACGTCCCTTCCACGAGCGGAGCGACACTGGTCCGGCGTAGTCAACTCCAGTGTTGAGGAACGCTCGGCCAGGGGTGAGACGAGCAACTGGGAGCTGGCCCATGAGCTGTTGGGCTCTGATCCCTCGCTGTCTGGCGCATGGAATGCACCTCAGGATGAATGATCTTACCGGGGCTCTCCCACCGAGGATCCAGTAAGACCTTCTGAGTTGACCGAGAGTGAGCTGCGTTCCTCCATGCAGAGTCCTGAGATGGGCATCTCGAATGATGAGCTGAGCGAACTGGGAATCTCGAGGTACGATGATCTGATGCTTATTTTCGCAGTCAAGCTGACCAAATTTTAGGCGCCCTCCAACGCGTAGAACTCCCCGGTGGTTCAGGAACGCTGTCAATCGAGTGAGTGAGTGAGACGAACTAAGACGTTGCCCTCTGGACAAGGTCGTAAGCTCAGCTCAGAAGTGCGCAGACTGAGTCAGCTTGACCCAAAGCAGCCGGTCCTGCTCGATGTCACCAGGGTTCAGAGCTGTTGCTAACGATGATCCAGGGATTCTTCTGAGACGAGCAATGACGCGCTGGCAGATGGCAGTAACTCGGAGCAGTTTGTCGAGTGAATCATAGCGATGAACTAGATCCCAAATCTCTGGGCGCTGGACCATCACGTTGAGAACGACACCAGGTTTCTCTTCAAGACCCGCTGATGCCACTGAAGCAAGCTCTAGAGATGGCCACGACGATGAGCTTTTCATGAGCCACGGTGGTCCGTGCCACCAGAGTTCATGTGCAGAGAGCTGAGCTGTAGTTAGTCCACGAGATGCGCAGTCAGCTGGGTTTTCCTTGCCAGGAACGAGTTTCCATTGTGCTCGCGAGGTCTCTTGTATGAGCTGGTCACGATTTCTTACGAACTCTTTCCATCTGGACGGGTACGAGTTGATCCACGTAAGCGCAACTGATGAGTCGGTCTATAAGAACGTCGGAGCGTTCGAGAGACTGAGCTCTCCTTTCACGTACTTTACGAGTTTGGCAAGCATAACCGCAGCTGTGAGCTCTAGCCTTGGGATTGTCAGCCGTTTGAGAGGAGCTACTTTCGTTTTCGCGCAGACCAAAGAAATCCGAGGCTCTTCATCTCCATTAAAGACTTTGAGATAGACTACGGCTGACATCGCGAGAACAGAAGCATCTGAGAATCCATGAATTTCAGTCGACGAATTCTGGAGAAGGCCTAATCATCTTGGAACAGATAACTTCGAGAGCAGAGTGAGATCATTCCGAAAACTTTTCCAACGCTGGGCAACTTGTTCTGGGACTTCCTCATCCCAACCAAGCTTTCGAATCCAAGTCTCCTGCATGAGTAGTTTCTCTCTGATCACGACAGGAGATAGAAATCCGAGCGGGTCGTAGATCTGAACGATCTCTGAGAAGATATTCCTCTTAGAAACTTTTGATTCATCGCTGGTCCGACTTGAGAAGATGAAGTTAGCCGAGCTGGGCTGCCACGACAAGCCAAGAATCCGCGTCTCCGAATCCTCATAAACTCGCTGGTCATTGGAGGCACTATCAGGAGCGAGCCACTGGAGTAACGCTGGACTATTACTATGCCATTTTGCCAGAGGCATTCCTCCAGCAGCGCAGAGATCACGAACTTCTTGCGCGGTCCTGACGAGTTGGTCATGCGTGTCCACACCTCCACAGATGTCGTCAACGTATCTTCCTTTCACGATGGGCGAGACGGCCAAAGGGAACCGATGTCCTTCATCCTCAGCCAGCTGAGGAAGGACACGGTTTGCGAGAAACGGAGCTGATCTCGTGCTGTATGTGACTGTTGTCAGTTGATACGTGACTAGTTCTCCACTTGAGTTGGTCCATAGAATCTGCTGCAGGGGCCAGTCATCCTCGTGAACTCTATTCTGGC